CGGGCTTTGGCCGGTGGCAGCCGACGTTGTAAAGGCAGAGGGAGAAACGGGTGATCGGGAATGCCTTCCTCCCTGGTCTTCCAGTTGTGGGGAAAGCGCAGAATTGATGTCATTTCTCAGTTGTCTGGTGCATCAGCCGGCAAAAGCCTAGAAACCGGGCAGGGAAACGAAAGCCTTCTTTCAGGTCATCCCGAGAGAGCTTTGGGCCAAACAAGGAATAAGTTGTAGGACTGGAGGGATGGGAGGAGGAAACTTCTGCCCTTTCCTCTGCTCTTCCCCTTAGACGAGGTAGAGCTACGCTCTCTGTTGCCTCTCATCGAGTACCTGGTCTTTCGGCGTACAGATGGCATGGCGTAGACTTTTACGCGTAGTCTGTGAATATGTTTGAGTATCGATGTGAATGCTGGAGATTTGCATAGTTCAACTCGGACGTCTGACTTGCATATCCCTTAAAAATAGGACTCCCCACTGCTGCAGAAGAAACTGGACTAATAACTTCAGTTCTCTAAAACATGTATGTTTTAAATAAAATAAACTATGTATGCTTACTTTCTTCATTATTATAAGCTGCAAGAGGTAATTTGTAACTTATTCATTAGTGTCTTTGTGTCTGTGAAAACAAGCGTGGTGTGCTGTGGTTCCCTTCGTCCAAAACGGAGGGAGATACTTAGCTCACAGACATGCATGAGCTATTAAAGATTTTAGATTATCAACAGAAAACCACAACTCTTGCCTTCTTCTCCTTCCTCCGCTCTTTGCCCTCACTTCCTCCCATAGTTTGTCATTCATCCTACCCTAGGTCTGCAGCTTAGTCTTCTATCTATCTGTGTTTGTTTTGCTCATTGAACAAAAGCCACAGACCGCGGCTGGTCTGGGTGCAGAGTGGTTAAAGCAAGTTGTAGTAGCGTTTGAGTGGTCACAGCGTATGGGAGTGACAGGCCCAGCGTAAGGCTGCTAGAAAGCCAATGAAGTGATTTTCGTTGCAGTAGGTTGTGTCTGCTTTGGATGAGGTCAGTTGTGACCAGTTAAGAAAGGAAATTGCAGAAGTACATTGCAATCAGAACTCTGGAAATGAATGCTATTGCTTAAGTTGGGACTTCAGTGGACAACAGCGCATAAAGTATCACTTCAGTGGATGCAGCATCTGTTTTCCTGTACCTCAATCTTAATACTGTAAATCCTTTTCTACTTGTAATGTATAATAGTCCTAATACTTGAATGCTGTGTTATGTGATACATATTGAGATTAGGTTTTTTTAACACCCTCACAATATGCATAACAATTACAAATAATATCTTGTAGTGATCTTGTGATGTTTTTCATTATTAGATCTATTGTGTCTTTACTTCTTCCCCGTTTTTATCCCTAATTACATGTTCGTTCATTCTCTGCTAATAAAGGTCATTTTTCTGTTAACTCAGCACTTATTTTTGTCTTTCTGAATGACAGTCAGATTCTCCGTAATATTATGTTCCTGACTTTGTTATGACAAACCTCTCTTAACATGGTCCTACTTTATGTTGCAATATAAACTTCAGATGTTAAATTTGATGTCTGAGCCTTTAAACAAAGTTCTATTAATAGTTTCAATAGTAACTCCATTAGTCTATTTCCATTAGTCTATTCCATATCTTGAAATACTTTAATCTTTACCTTCACTAGTTTAATGAATAGTTTCATGTATGATACTTCTACATCTTAATGACATTCAAATAGGTCAGACCTGCTGTTTTTCCTCTGTCTGCAATAGTGATTCCCAAGTTGTTGTTAAAGTCATGATTAAGTTATGCCGAGACTGTGAAACTTACTACTACTTCGTTAAAATCTTTTGAATAAAATTTTGGAGGATACATTGGTGCAAAATTTTTAGGATTGATTAACGTAGAAAATAACTTTTTGTCAAAAGTATCACGATGATTTAAAGGTAAAGCTCAGGTGCTGTATAGCTCATGTCTGTCTGTCTGTCTTTTTTTTTTTTATAATCTTTAAAGTATTTTTCCCTTTAGCTTTTAAAGCTTTGTTTATTGTGACAGCTGATGAATGTGCTTCTTGTTGCTGAAGTTAGTTTCTACTACCTCCCTGGTATTTTTGCATTTCGTGTCGGTATCACCTATGCTGATGCTTACCCTAAGGACTTCTGAGGATATTCTGCTAAAGTTGATTGGAACTTTCATGTACAAGTTACTCAAGAATTCTGAAGACTCTGCTGATACTTGATTTCAGTATGGTGTAAGAGTTTTCTACTTAATTTTTTGTTACATTTTCCATTCTGTTACTCACTTTTTCTTGGATGTCCAGGTGGTATAGCAATTGAAGTCATAGCCCTGATCTTTAGTTTGGACCTTAGAAATTATGGCATTTAAATCTTCCATTTTTTCTTCTCAGATTTCAGTGTAACAACAGATTGAATGGATGCCTATCTTCGTGTTTGTGAGATGAAGAAATTCCAAGAGCATACAAGCGACACTTTCCTGAACTGAGGAATTTAACTATAAAGGCATGTTTCTGTAGGAGACTACAAGCAGCATAACAAAAAGGTATGTAAGTAAAGGGTGAAATGTATCTGCTTGTGTGTTTGTGTTTATCATGTTAAACTGCACAATGTTACAGGAAATACCATATTTTCATTTTAATATTTAATGGACATAATAATAATTTATTTTGAAATCCCTGCTGTACAAAATTATTCCAAGAAGGATAGATGGAAAGTTTATTACGCTTCTATCTTTCCATCTTCTATCTTTCCATTTAAGTTTGTTCATTGCATTTAATGGAAATAAATTTTTTTTTTAATCTTTCTCATGCTCCGTCAAAGAATTAATGAAGGAAATGCTAGACCCTATTTTTCATAAAGCAATCAATGTCTAAAATAGAAATTAAATACCATTTGCAATTATGTAACTCATTTTAATATGTTGTGTCTAATATAATAAATGCTTTTGTCTGTGTTCCTTGATAGTATGAGTTTTCTGACCTTTTGTCTCCTGAAATCAGGCTCTTGTTTGAAAAAACGCATGGCAAAAGTGAGAGATTCTGCTCACTCTTTCTCTACCTTGGCCCAAACACGCAGACCTGCATGGTGAACGGAGTTGGGGAACTAATCTCATTTAAAAAAAAAAAAAAGAAAAAGAAAAAGTGAATGTGCGGGAAATACATTTTCTCTCTGTATCAGCTTTCAGTAGATTCAGTGCCTTGAGTCCATTTGTTATTTTACTGCATAAAGAATTGTTTGAGCTCAAGGATGAGACAAGAACAGAACAGGCAGAGACAGGAGAGAATACTTGTAGTTGTAGTGCTAGTTTAAAGTGTCTTTTATTACTAAAGCTGTAATTAATTTATGAATTTAAAGAATCTCGATGAAATAATCTTTAAAACTTACTGGAAATATTTGCCTTTGTTCCATAAGGCTGTGATGTGGTAGTTTGACATGGGTTGGGCCAAGTTAAACTTTGCTTACCCTCAGATTGCTCCCCTATAACCGACATATTAGTAACTATGCCACCGCCCAGGTGCGCAGAGCTTTGCGGAGGGGCAGGTTGCCGCCAGTGCTGGCAACAGCCAATCATCAGGTCGGTGCTGCGGGAGTCTGAGCCAATCGGAATCGGGCGTTCTCCACCAAGTCCCCCTCCCTAACTGACCTCCTTCTGGAAGCTTTGGCTGGGAGAGACCCAGCAAAGGCCTTGTGGGAGCTAGAGCCCTAACAGCCCCCCCCCCCTCCACCCCCAAAGACTCAGAGAGGCTCCAGGAGTGCCTGAGGGCTCTAACAGAGGTGACCCTGCGGCCCTGCCCCAGGACTGCACGGTGCACAGCTGGAACAGCTATGCTGCCCTCCTCCAACTTTCTCCTGGCCTGAATTTCTCCTGGGCCTCGTCGCCAACCGTGCAGGACAGCGAAATCACTTAAGGAACTGTTACCTTGACCCAACTGGCTTTTCTCCTGGACTGTGCTGTCTCTCCCACAGGACAGGGAAGTCAAATCACTTGTTAACGTTAAAATATCTGGGACTAGAAGTGCTTTGCTATCCAAGCCTCTTTAGTTTCCACACTATCAGTGCAGTCTCAAACTGTGGTATGTGGTATCAAGTCTGGACGTCCAAAATTGTTGATGTTGTTATCCCTTATTAGTAAAATAAAAGCATCTGGTTTACCTTGATTACATTACATGACTTTGCAGAAGCAGGTTGGCGGTATGCAGAAACAGCACAGGAACGACATAGCGAATCTAAATTTTCCTTTATTCTGCATTAATTGATTCTGCATATTCGTTTTCTAGGTATTTCTTAAATATATATAATTAATATTTTCTTTTTGGCTGTACAAATCGCTCTGATTGAAATTGTATCAACACTTAAAGTTTGGCTCCACCTTCCGGTATATTTTCAGTGTTGCCCAGTGACGAGACAAGAGGCAGTGGGCACCAACTGAAACGCAGGAAGTTCCATCTGAATCTAAGGAAGAAATTTTTTTACTGCGAGGCTGCCTGAACCCTGGAATAGATTGCCCAGAGAGGGTTTGGAATATGCATCCTTGGAGATATTCAAAACCCGTCTGGACGCGATCCTGGGCAACGTGCTTTAGGTGACCCTGCTTGAGCAGGGGGGTTGGACTAGATGATCTCCAGAGGTCCCTTCCAACCTCAACCGTTCTGTGATTCTGTTTTTACAACTTAAGCTTGAACTCCAATACTAACCGAAAGCAATTCTAGCAAATATCATGAAGTCTGATGTTACAAGGAAAATAGAATCATATTTAGTTTCTCTATTAATCAGCAATTTCATCTGGATAGAGTAATGAAAGTTCTTTCTTTTTCTATAATTTTAAGCCTAGGCTTGTGTTCACTCAAATTTCAGTTCTGAAAAATGAAATATTTCAGTTTGTTGCAACATTTTGCTGTGATCCTTAATGCTACTTTTGCAGTATTAAATAAATATGTAACTGTGTCTACTTCTTCCCTTCAAGTACTCATGGGTAAGAGGAAAGAGGAAAGCATTTCACAGCCTGGGTCCCACAAAAGACGGAGACAAGAATACGCGGGTGAACCTAGTGATGAGTCCAACGAAGAGGAAAATTCGCAGTTGTTGGCTGATAGTAATTTCTCTTCCCCATCGGTAAGCTATTTGAAAAGTCTGGAAGAAAATAAGATACCAGAAAAAGTTGATATCAAAACAATGGTCTCTGATTTTTAGTTGACATTGAAATAAGTGTTTTGCATGTAGGATTCAACGAGAACAATACAAAAAAAGCTAGTGGTAATGTGTCTGTGATAAGGACTTTTGCAGGAATGCATTCTTACCTTTGAAACTTAGTGCTTTTGGATTGTATGGCTGCAGCAGTTGGTCATCTAACAGCAGCATTCTGATTTTACAGAATACGTAGTACTGAAGTTAAAGTAATCAAAATAAGGAATCCACTAAATAAAAGGAAAAATTTTGTTGATAGGAGTTTAATGTGTTTGGCTTAGAGTTGTGGTAAAAGAGAAAATATTGCGGGGGGGGAAGTAAATTACTGAAAAAGTACTAACTAGTTGCTTGTTTTCAGTAGGTAATGTTTTCAAATGATTGTAATAAGTTTTAATCTTTGAAACTCATATTTTCATGTAATTGAAACCTTAAAACAAAATGGAAGAATGTTATGTTTTTCTGCTTTTCTGTAATGGTTGAATTCCAATTTGATGATTAGAATTATTAAAATAGCTTTTGAGCATGCAAATACAGTACTACGTGTTGTAGGACATTACAGCTGATCTTCGATACTTGGAGGCGTTATTCCTCGCTTCGTTTTCTCGAGCAGCAGACGTTGTCATTGTTGTGTTTAGTACTCCTTAGAGCATTGCTTTCCCAGAAAACCCTGCTTTTATAAAGCTCAAATTCTATTTCAAAACCTCAGTACCTCACTGGTTTTCCAATGGGCTATCCTTTCAACTTTTATTTTCATTCCCTTCTTGCTAACCTGTTCTTGGAATTTGGCAAAAATAGATCAATAAATAAAGAGCATCTTAAAAAGACTTCTTTGTTACTGGAATGATTATAGATTCTGTATGATTAATAATAATCTTAATCGTGTATACTGTACTAGTGATAAGCTAGTTATGGGGGGGAATGAAAGTTACCATTGAGTGATGAGCCTTGGTAACTGTTTTGGTGTTTTGTTTTGTTTTGTTTTTTTAACCCTTTTGTACATCTAAAATAAACTGTATTTAATTAAAATGCACACATAAGCACCAAATTTAATAGCTAATTCTTTAGACTGTAGGGGAAGTTGGGATAATTGAAAGTATCCAGCTGAAGAACTTTATGTGCCATTCAATGTTGGGGCCTTTTCAGTTTGGATCAAATCTCAATTTTGTGGTTGGAAACAACGGAAGTAAGTATTAATTGCATCATTTCTCTATCAAATAACGTTTCTGTTAATAACTTAAAACATCTCATTTTTGTTTGAAATGAATAGCTATCTCATCTTTGTATCTTTTAGGAATGGGGACTGATTCAGTTTTGGACTCAGTAAGCACAGGTCTACCCCAGTAGTTCCAAGCTGGTCAAAAAGCTAGGTCTTATACAGAGACTTGCAAAAGATAATATATATCTTTCCATAGCTAAATCATGCATAGATTTATATTTAATAAAATAAAAAAGTTGAGAGTTTAAAGACATTCAGATATTTATTTAAACAGTAAGGTACATTTGATTTCTTTGATTGTTTGAATGTTTTCTGTATGATCTAGGTGGGGAGAGGGTAACTTTTCCTCCTGAGTTAGAACATCTCGTGGAACCTAAGATGCTGAGATGAAATAACAGAAGTTTGAATGTTACCTTTGGCTCAGCATCTTTTTTTTGGGGAGAGGACCTTGGAAACGCCTATTTTTCCTAGAGCTGGAACCATTGCTATTTTATGCATCTGTCCAGTAAAGACAGAACGTAGAATTTAAGTGCTTGAGTACATAAGCAATCAAACATCTGAAAATCTAAAACATGAGTGAACTGGGTAGAAAGACCTATGAGAATTTCTTTTTAAACGACTTCAGCACTTCTCATTGCAGGTGGAAAGAGTTCTGTATTAACAGCTCTTATTGTTGGACTCGGTGGAAAAGCTACTGCAACTAATAGAGGTTCCTCTTTAAAAGTGTTTGTAAAAGATGGAGAGTCGTAAGTAACACTTTTTCAGTCTTAAGGTTGACTGTGTTTTTCAGGTTAACTGATGAATTTTTTAAAGTCAGAATTCAAACCACATCCCGTCTTTTCTAGAAGAATATCTTAATCCGCAGGCTATAGATTGCTTTGGTTAGGGATGCCTGTGGAAGTTAAGAAGCTGTTTACCAAAGAGGCCCAAGGCTGGAAACAAACAAGCAAGAGGGAACTAGATTCTGCAGCCTAAAGATGAGGGCAGTCAGATGGGAGGGGAAGGAGGATCTGTGTTCTGCTTCCTGCTGTCACAACTACTTACTTTTAGCTAATGATCTATTTGGAGTGTAAAAAGAGCATACACCCAGTATATGGCAGTTTGTCTGGCCACGCATATGTGATGCTGGTTTGAGTCAAACAACATCAGTGTATCTTGTTTTGACTTGTATCATGACTGACCTACGTTTGTGACCTGGACAAGACTTGGAAAAATTTTGTGGAAAGTTGAAATGTTTTGAATTTCTGGTTTTGGAATTAATATCAGTTGTCTGAATTCTTTAGTTCTGCAGATATTTCAATAACGTTGCAAAACCAAGGTAGAGATGCATTTAAACGAGAAGTGTATGGTGACTCTATTATTGTGAATCAGCACATTAATCTCGATGGAAGCAGAAGTTACAGACTGAAAAGCAAATCGGGTTAGTGGTAGTTTTGTTTTGCTCTCAATTTTAAAAGCTCTTAAAATGTGTATATTGCGTTAATTGCCTTGATGTTAGTAAAGGGTGATGTTTTTCCTATTAAGGTGAGCTTTTTTACATTTACCTTAGCATGTCACACTTTAACATGTTCCTAAGCAGTTGTACGGCTTCACATCATGCAGAACCTGATGCATTATTTTGCTTTATTTTTGTCTGCTTGTGTGATGAGGCTGAACGTAGTTACTAGTCTTTGAATTTTTGCTGAGTTTGCTAATTTACCTAAATTCTCACAGGGAATTTAAGAGGCAAGGAGTAACTTTTAATTAAATCTTTCTATATAAATGCCAATACAATACTGGAAATACGTGAAATGGCGTTTCTAGCTCAAGACAGAGGCAGTGCTCTAAAAAAAAAAAGCATGTTTACTTTGAGGCACTAAATTGGACCGAAGGCTGGGATTTTGTATGTGCTTTTACTTTGGACCTATTGATTTTTTTTTTCTTTCCTTTTTGGACCATTAGGGAACTTAATTTCTTCCAAGAAAGAGGAACTTGTAGCAATACTGGATCATTTTAATATACAGGTAACTGCTGCAGTGATTGAATTCTGTGAAATTTAAGACAATAGCTTATAATGTTACAGTTCTTTAAATAAAAAGCAGTGCTCCATTTTGTTAAATGAGAGAAGTCATGTTAATTCTTTCGTGAGCACACACAACGACAAAAGAAAGCTTTAATTCAACTCAATGCATAATATGGCTCTCTCCCAGTAATGAAGTGTAAGATACAATCTCTGAGCTATGAGTCATATATCTTGTTAATGGAAGTCTTAGCTTACTTTAATTTCTTTCAGACCTCTTTTTTTTTTTTTTTTTCCTCCTGCTTTTTCTCATCTTAGAAATTTTCTGTGTTAGAGAAATTTAAGTTTGCGTGTGTGTGTTTCGCTGCTTGAGTGATTTAGGAAAGATCAGGTAGCGCACATAAAGCTTTAAAACAATGTATTCAATGTGTCAAATAGTGTCAGTCTCTGCTAGTAAATACTGATTTTAATTTTATGCAAATTTCCATAAGAATATATTGGGCAGTTCATCGAATTGAATGTAATACTTTGATCAATTGTGTCGAGAGAAATTAAACTACACTGGACAAAATTCCTAATCCTAATCTTGTTAAAAATAAACGAACAAAGCAGGCCCTTTCTTCCTAGGAGTCAGTTATACTCCTGAAAATCATTTCTTCGTTTGTCCTTGTTGTGATTCAAGTTTGTAGAATTTAAAAGATAAGTGAAGTGATTTAATTTCTAGATCTATTTTTCTCTACTTATTGCTGAATTGCTGGAAAAGGAACAGGGAGGTAGTTTGCGCACTTTCAGGGATTAAGTGAAAACACTTTTGGCAAGCAAGTATTTTACTATTATAGGTAGATAATCCTGTGTCTGTTTTGACCCAAGAGATGAGTAAACACTTCTTACAGTCTAAAAATGAAGGTGACAAGTACAAGGTAAGAAAAATCATTTGACATTTTGATTAAGTATTGAAATGTAATTTTTAGAATTAATCAATTTGTTTCAGTTATTCTTTTAAAAAAATGAAACCTAGCAATTGGGGGGAAAAAAAAAATCATTGAAGTCAAAATACTTGGCTTCAAATTTTAGTAAGAGGCATTTGGAGAAAAAATATCAGAATCCTTAGTTTTAATTATGTTATTATAGCAGCCATCCAGGTACTTGCAAAAAGAATTTTTTGAAGTCCCCTTTCTCTGAAGAGGTTGCTAAATTCTTATACGTAGGATATTGCTGAGTTAGTTCATCATTCAGAGATATTCCAGCACTTACTGTACTTTGGGTATAATTTAGCGTGCATAGAGGTTGGGATGAGTGGTCTGTCTCTTGTAATCATTTAGGGTTCATTTAGGTAAACTGCAGCATCTGACATCTGCACCTCTGTTCCTTTTTAGTTTTTTATGAAGGCAACTCAGCTGGAACAAATGAAAGAAGATTATTCATATATTATGAAAACAAAAGAAAATACACGTCTTCAGATAGAGCAAGGAGTAGAGGTATGTTTCAGTTTCAGTAAGTATTACACAGCAGAGCACTGAATGAATAATAGTTAGTATGCATAGTTTTGATTTGTCTGAGTTTCGGTGATATTAGGCTTCAAAAAATAAGTCTTTCCAAAATTTCATATTGTATCACAGCTCTGTGCGCTCACTTACAGTTGAACCTTTTTTTTTTTTTTTTTTTTGTTAGCGTCTTCGAGAACTTAAGCTTCATTATTGCGAGAAAAAGGAACGTTACAAAAGCATTGGGTTTGTGAATGAAATGCGAAAGCATCTCGAAGATTTGAAACATAAAATGGCATGGGCAGTGGTAAATTTGTTTCCTAATATGTTCTTAAAATATGTTTCCTAATAAGAAACCCACTTAAATTGTTCTTTATCTGTTGTGGACATTCTGATGCATGCTCAAAAATGCCTTATGCTTAGGTGAGTGAAATGGAAAGAGAAATACAGCCAATCAGAGAATGCATCAGAGTTGAAGAAGAACGTACAGCAAAGTTCCTTCAAAAGCTAGAAGAATGTCAGGTACGTGCATATTTTAAACCATATTTCAATTTAGTTCTGATTCCTTGACTCAAGAATAAAATATTTTTTAAAACTGATTCTCCTTTTGTGTGTAAGCTATTGATACTGGCCTTGTCAGCTTTTTCACAAGCTGTGCAGCCTAAAGAATGTTATAAATATTAGTGGTTAGCTTCTATACGCTTCTTTAGTTATCTAAAACTTAGTTGTAACACTTGCATTGTATATTTCCTTGGAGAATAATGTTAGGGTGTTTTGTTTCCTCTTGTTCAGAAGAGGGGTGGTGTGTGTGTGGTTATCGTGCTGATACTTCTGACTCATGTAAGGGTTATTTTGTGTTGACTGGGAGTCTGAGGTGGCTAGTATTTCCTATACCGGTGAACGAACATTTAAAACATTTCTTTTAGTTTTATTGTTGAGAGTAGTTAGGCAATACCTATTTCTGTAAACATTAAAGCATTTCTCAGAAATCTGCTGTGTAGGCTTCCTTGGATATCATTACTCATAGGAAAGATCAATATCTAATTCCAAGAGGCGTCTAGAATTAAAACAGATTCTTTTAATAGTACTAAGACTTCTGGATGTAGTCAGAAAGGTTAATTTTTCTAAGTGTTCAGATTTACTTAAGAAATGTGTTTTTTACAGAGAAATACTAAATTTTGGTCCATTAAAACTCCCTCTCCAAAGGGAGGTATTCATTTCTCGCTGAAGTATATGTGTGTACGTGCATACATATATATGTGTGTGTGTGTATATACATATATATAAAATATGTATATTTGCACTATAATTGATTTACTGTATTGCGAAAACATGTCTGTTAAAGCAGCATTGTCCAGATACTGGTTTCACATCTTTCCGTGTTGCTTAATTGGCCTTACTGCAGTGAGAGTCCCGTATTTGATTAAACTATGAGTAAGAGTGAAGAAGGTTGCTGTTTATATTATGGATTTGATAGTTCATCAGTCTCCTGAATGTGTTCCTATATTAATTTTTTGCTTTGTAGATCCGTAACGGTAGTGAAATGCTTTACAAAAAAAGAGAGAGACAGATATCAGCAGATAGATAATTTTGAATGATAGCTTTCTTCTTTAGCGTTAAGAAGTTTGGGGAAAAAATGCTTCATTGCTGCTTGTGATTTGTTATCTTTTTGCTATGAAGGTAAAAGTAAATGAAGCAGAAGAAAAGTACAAAACGATACAAGACAAGTTAGTAAAGATAAGTGAAGAAGCACAAGCCCTACATCCGCAGTGTATTTCTTCAAAAAATGATGTGCAGGCAGGAAGAAAAGCATTCAATGAAGCTGAGGTAAGCAAAAGAACTTTTGAAGATTGTACTGATTTAAAGCCTTACTTCTGTTCGTGTTTTATCCATATGCTTTTTTTTTTTTTTTTTGCATCTGTGTTTAGGATTCCTGAATGCATTGTGCAGTTCAGTGCAATTCAAAACAGATGCAACTTTCTGCTTGAGTTGCAAGTAGCTTCTCCTTGGGGCCATAGGGTTTGCATCTTTACACAGGTGTTAAACAAAGGACAGCTTAGACCAACATAAATGGTTCAAGAATTGTAAAAGGAACAAGCAATACAGTTAACTTCAGGTTCTGTTTTTCTTAAATTTAGGAAATTACTTGTTGTTCAGATAGAGTTCAACAATTATTTCCTCAAAATTGTAGTTATATCAGTTCTTTTCTGAAATAATTCTTATTTCTGTTAATTGAACTAATATGTCCGACTTCCTTCATAGGCCCTTTATAATCGTTTCAGAACTGAGTTAAAACGTCTGGGTAGAGATGATGAACAGCTGTGTAAACGAATTGAAGAACTGAAAAACAGGTGAATATGGATATAGTGATTCTTGTGTACATTTATTTAGGTATAGGTATGCAGGAACTGAGCTCTTCTGATTAATGAGAAAATTTGACAATACTTGTGCAGTAACAGAAAATACTTATGTAATTTTTAGCAAGGTCCCGTCAAATATCTCTGGCCCTGTTTCTTTGCATGCCAAGATTTTGACCAGAGGGCGATGAGGTGATGGGGCAGGGGAGGAAAAAAAAAAAAAAAAAAAGCTTTTATTTCATTTGGTGATGGTGTACGTTTTCTAACTTCTGTGATGTTACAAAACAAGTATTCCTCAACCTAAATATGTGATAAGAATACTAGACTGGGAGAGCTATGTGTGGTTAAAAATAAAAAAAATAAAAAAAAAAAAAAGGGCAGTAGGGTGCAGTAGGCTTTATGTTGTGTAGAGCTTGTAAATGCACTGAATCTTAAATATAACTTTCTGATGCATAGATCTCTTTATGATACAGTTTCTAAAGCAAAGTTCTCACTTATAAATATCACCAGTGTGGTTTGAAAACACTGAAGTGTGGTCTGTTCTAGTGCTAATCAGGTTTCGGAGCCTGAAAAGTTGGAAAGACAAAGGAAAATTGCACAGTTAAAAGAGCATTTAAAGGTGTTCCATGATCAAGAAATAATGATTGGTCAACAGATGGATCAGTTTCAGCAGGCCATATACAAGTACAAGGAAGAACAGGCTACACTGAGGTAGGTTACATTTTTTTGAGTATATATGCATTTCCTTGCATTCCTTGAGGTATTGAGCGTCAGTTTCTATATATTTTTTTTCTAATATATCTTAGGACTTGATAACCCTTTCTCTTTGGCAAAGCATGGCTGAATTTAGAAACATAGTTTATCTGTAATTATTTCTATTAAATTAAGGCATCATAAGCTGTTGCTAGTGGTGAACATTCTCTTTTCTTAGGAAAGAAGAACATGATGTGAAACAAGCACTGGATGCCAAGCTGAAACAGCTGAGAGAGCTGAAAGATAGTAAAACAAATACCTTGAAAAGATTTGGACCACATGTGCCATCATTTCTTGAAGCAGTTGAAATGGCCTATAGGCAAGGGCGCTTTAAATACAAACCTGTCGGACCTTTAGGTAAGAATGACAGCTGATCA